CATCTGGCAGTGTTTGTTTATTCAATGAGACAAAGTGAGGCGCATAAAGTATAAATCTTCAAACAGCAGGTGATGATACATCACAGCAATAACTTGTAAATGACTACAAGAAACACTGTACTCAAAGCGAGTAAAGGAACAGCTGTCTTTATGAAAGACAAAACGCCAAATTACTAAACAAAATAAAAAGTGACCTTAAAACAGATCAAAGGTTCTAATCACAATGTAATAATAACATCTACATAAAAATGTAAATAATAATAATAATAAAGAAATAATAATCATTGCTGATGCAATCAATTTGATTCATGCAACATACATGGCAAGATGTTTTCTTTCTTAACATGAAAAACAGTACTGGTGTCATTTACCAGGAAATTACACATTAAGCACACAAAGTAAAGACTTCTGTAACTACAGAAGAAAAAGTACAAAGAATTTCAAGGAATTCAGTCCAGTAATCTTTGACCAATATGGTCTTTTAAACCATTGTATTAGGGACTACTTTATGTGAGTCTCTACCACGGCCTCCACAGGGCGCTGTTGTCTTTCGTGGTGCTTGTCTGGACTGTGGAACTCAGAGGAAAGAGGTCATCCTCTCTCAGATTTTCATCAGAAGCTGTCTGCAGCTTGCTGAAGCTGTTCAGCAGGTTTCTCTGCTGCTGGTTCTGCAGCTGTAGCTGTGTCAGGAAGCAAACGGTCATCTCCAGGATGTCTGCCTTCTCCAGGTTGGAGTCTGGCTGCTGTTTGAGGAACTCTGGACCCAGGAGAGACTTGAGCTGCTCTCTGCGTAACTTCTCCACCAGAGGCTTTCTGAGCTGCAGAAAAAAGAACAAAGTCATTAATAACATCATTTGGGAGGATGAAGTTAGCCTTAACAGAACACAAGCTTTCATGATTACTGGCATGCTGTGAATATTATGTAAATTCTATGTTCCACTTACCTTGTGAGTCAGTGTCAGATGCTCTGGGGTACTGGTCATTGCTGCAGTGACTTTAGATGCCATGCTTGGATTTCTGTGCTCTAGAAGTCTCTGTAGATAGCACCGATCTCTGCTGGCTTCATCCCTCCTATTTATACTACAGCATCTCCATATGAATGTGTGGGTCTTACTCTGATTCAGGTTTCCCACAGTCTAAACCAATCAGCGGGCTCTCCACAAACAATAAGGCATGTGGAGCCAGCAACATGCTCCAGTATGCCCAGGGGATAATAGGTTTCAGGGAAACAGCTGGAGGACTGGAGGGAGAGGGAGAGATAGGTTCAGAGTTCTATGTGAATCAGGGAAAGTGGTGACCTCCCAGGGAGGCCTGATGCTGGGATCGATAACTTTGACTAAGCGCACGCTTACCATCCCGTTGGGGAATTTTCACC